AGTCATCAGCAGTAGTAGATTGGTAATAGCATCACCAACAACAGTACTTGATGATAATGGTGCTATACAACAGGGATATTCCCATGGTATTGATATATCATTAATAAGGACTTTCGCAGTACCAAAAAGTGCATTGAATAGACCATAATAGGGCGAAGTAGTACCACTAACCTCAGCAATAGTATCATCAATAGCCCATCTTGGTGATACCCAATTGCTGCATCCATCCTTATAATGTTGTACCGGTAAACAATAACAATAATAATAGCAGCGATAGTAGTAGTAGTAGGTGTAGTGGTAGGAGATTACGTATCCGATAACCACTTTCCCAATCAGAGTTGGATATCCCAGTACTCCTATCATCAATAAGCTTCCTGGCATGCCTTAATAGACGCCAATAGGCCTCCCCTACAGTCGCAGGGAGTGACCAATGCAACATAGGACTCACCAATTTATAATCACCTGAACCTAATAATTATGTAATACTAGTGTGAGCACACTAGTAGTACTACCTGGATAGGCTGTACCTAATAGGCTTTGGCCCTAGGTTAGGACGGATCTCCGAATCCAGGTAATGGAATACTCTATTGATGTAGTTGATACTCAGGTCGTAATAACCAATACCAGTTGGTAGAAAGGAAGGAATGATAACCTGTTAATCTATCATATTAGTAGTAGACCCTTACCAGCCTCGTTATTAGGATAATATTTAGACCACAAAGGGCCTTGTTTTTTAATGTTTTGTTCGGTATCTGCAAACCTACTACCAACTCTACGACAATAAGCATTCAACTTAGTATTTCCACCAAAGCGTACACCATCAATAGGATCAATATGTTCACCACTTAGTACCATACCAAACCGAAGTAATCTGAAACCTGCCAGCATCAAACTAATAGGTATCCTCACTGTATCTAGTAATATCGATATAATCATTATATTAGATGATACTGATAACGTATTTATATTAATAATATTTGTACAGATAAGAAAGCATCCTCTGTAGGTCCACATAGATAACGATACTCCTGACCACCTTTCTTAGGTTCCCATACATACATCAAGTTATCACTACACCTGATTACTAATAATTAAGATCATGACCCTAATACAACATAATACATTCATTGTCAATAGCATGTTGCCATGGTGAACAACAGATAGCATTATCTAACCTAAACTAGGAGGATGAACAGGGAATGGTAGATAATGTCTTACCCTTGATCATAGACTCACTATTAGTGGATGCAGTATAGAAGTAGTAGCTCGCTGCACAGGACATGTTGTTGTAAGTATATAATCATAACTGCACTGTATAGCAGTACCCTGACAATAAGGAGGTATTGTCCAATGTTTACAATACGGCTCTGGTAAGATCTTAGAACAACCCAGATCAGCAGTACCACAGTCAGTAGACAATCCCTCATTTGGTATTACTACCGACACCTTAGTAGTAGTCGTTATTATAGGAGTAGACATACCACCAATGGTAGGTCATAATGATTATCATCAGAAGAGTATAGGATGTATGGACCAAGTTGATGGTGTCTTCCGATACATACAGTAATCATTATTATTCTTAGATATACTTTTACAGTACATATCACTATCATACCAATATTCACCAACAAGTGATAAGGAATACCATTTTGATGATCAGACTTATTAGCCACATAGAAACCAACTGATATTATAAGACTCCCCCTAATCTACAACCTCTAGTGTCTAGCTTTGACATTCGGATGTTGTTTATATGAGTAGAGATTAATGAGTAGATATGATACCCACATTAAACAGCTACCTAACCCAACATGGAAGTATAGTCTGGCTATTGCAGCAGCAGCATGAGGCATATAATCTTGCTATCTTATACCATCTCGACATTTACTCAACTTGATGATGTGTGTAAAGTTGATATAGGGTCGCAGGGTTATGTTGTTGATGTTAATTGTTGTTTTACATGTCGTCTGCAGATGCGGCACATATCAGTGGCGGTATAGAACCATCGATAGATGGACATAGTAATAATAGCACTAGTATTAGTATTATTACTCCTATGTAGGGTCTAATATAGATCGTGTACATCATCATAAGAGATATCCTAGATATACCTCTAGTGGGTTATTAATGCGTAGGAATGGATTAAAATGGCCATGGCATCGATATCAGTGTGCCACTGTGTAATACTCTATAACTACCTTTATGGTTAGGTTCATATATCAGGTTCTTATGGTCATTTGATATAGCATGGTTTGCTGCATTCCAATTGCAGATGTTAGAACCATTAGCAGTGGAGATAGTATTATCTATACTATTCTATATATCGGCTCTAACAATGGCCATTATGGGCCTTATTGCAATGGTAATAACACCTATCATCATCAACATCAACAATACATACTCTTATTCAGTACATTGATCCGGCCGATTCTTGTATATTTGACGAGAACATAGCAGAGACATCACCCAATGGAGGTTCCCTCTATTGCAGTGGATGCAATTCATTTGTGTATAACGACTCTAATCATACCATACCTCTTTCAACTTATTTATCATTAGGTGTACCGGGTCTAAGCATTGCAGAGTATGCAATAAATGCGTTCGTAATTTCGACCATCATTGCAAGTGGTTGAATACGTGTATTGGATGGTAACCATTGATACTTATGCTGCATTTCACCTATATCTTCAGTTTAAATTATAAGTATTTTGCCTGGGCCCTAGCATCTACTGTATTGTGTACTGCTCTATATATTGCCTCTTGCATCATTATATTATCATTCAATGATATAGATCGATGGACATCTCTCTATGGTTGGTATGAAGGATCCTACTACCCGTTACAGGTACTCTATATTATTATTAACATAATGATCATTCTTGTACTTAGATTATACCACTGGTAATCAATGCTCTGTTTTTCATTGGTTCCTCCCATTTAGCAGCATTCCATATCTATCTTACCATATCTGGTATAACAACATATGAGTAGGAATAATGATATTCTATAGCTAATGATTATCCCCATTAGGTTTATTATTGGTAGAAGGAATAAGCATAACCATACTCCAGCGGTGACACAGCAGCAATCATCTATTGGTGCTCCTAGTGTATCATCATCATCATCAATAAGTTCTGGAATGCCTTCTAGGGATGATGGTAATATAGATTGGTTCTCGGGAGAGGGGTCAGAGGGTATCATCTCTTTGTATCACGTATTGTGATAACTTCTATTTTAACCTAAAGGGTGTTTTATACAAGTTATTGCTGATTAACGTGAGATTAGTCATGTGCATTGGAAGCGCATGTCGTCATGTTCCTGTTGAGAGTAGTGGGTTGAGGATGTTCAACTGACGATAATCAGCAACTTAGTAGGAGGGACCATTATCCAAATATTTGAATATATCTGCCTGACCTATCATGACGGTTCTTGGTAAACGTTTCACCAAATAAATCCTCTCGGACCCCATAGGTGGTATTTTGCATACCTGGGTGGCAGCAGCAGAGTCGACTCGTATCGAAACAGTCAGCCGATGGTGATAGAATTGATGTTGGTGATGTATTAGGTGATATTAACCGGACGACAAGGTTTGCATCTTCTGGCATTGGAGTTGGCAATCTGCCACCACTACAAGATGGTCAACATCAACATCAACATCAACAACAAGAGGTTGAAGATGTAGTACTGGTTATAATGGTAGTAGTGAATGTAACATCGCTCTGATATCAGGATTCAAATATTACATATCATCATGTAACACGACGATCATCAATGGATTTGGAGTCTATTGCTGAAAGTAGCTACCATAATAATACAACAAAATCATCGTCATTGTTCGACAGTAGTTCGACCTGCTTATCAGGTGTTGGAGTATCGGTAGCTCATGTTGATAATCCAAGGCAACCTACTATACAAGAGATGGCATCAATAACATCATCATCAGCTAGTAATAGTAGTCATTGGATAAGCTATGGTTCTAATGATGTTGTACAACTACGGACTACTAGATATACTACTACTGTCGGCTACCTCCTTGTATACTATTGTTGTTATAATAATAA